ATGGCTTCTAGCTGGAGCCAAGACATCTGTTGGGCTATTCCTGAATTGACTTTTTTTCCTGAAGAAAAGTCTGGATTAGAGCCGTTTAAAGCAATCACAAACTTTCCTCTGTCAACCAGATTGGTAGCGGCATCAGGGAATTCATTATCTTGACCGGTTGACTTTCTTTTATGGAAACACCTTGACTTACTCCCTGCTAACCATGGTTTCAACGCTTCAGGGGAAAGCCTTTTGAATACGGAGACCCTCTGTGGAGTGGTCTTAGGAAAACTACATACTAATAATACTGCCCGGATAAGTTTAACGTAAGGACAATGAAAGTTCGTCTCTCGGGTACTTCTCTTTCGAGATTTGTTCGTACCCCCAGTCCGATAGTACAACTCATCCGCATGATTGCCGGAGAAACCTATCGTGTGCTAGCATAATTTCCTAGGTGTAATGTTATCATCATCAGACGAATATATTTCCTTCTGGGAATAAAATGCTTTGTTAGCGTCTTCGAGAGTCACACGTTTAGAGTTATGCCTTTGTGAGCACGGGACCTCAACCGGCTCTTAGACTTCGACTCGCAGTCCAATGCGGTCGGTTACTAGAATTTTCCCTTTATGAGTAGGCTCAGACTTTTTACAAGGGTGAGTACGAACCCCAGCTCGATGAGTTGCTCGGGGTTCATTCATCGTGCCCAAGCGCTCTTTGACTAGAGCTTTGCCTTGATCCTCGTGAAAAAGACCTAGGGGTTTCGCTATTGCTTTCCTGCATCTGGATATGTCCATATTACTACGGAGCATCACCGGAGGTGCAAGATTAGAAGGAACGAGATCTGAACTTGATGAAAGTTAGGAACCAGGTTTGGATCTGGAATCAAGCGAGTGACACGACTGGTGTCTCTTGTCGGGTAGAAGCGGTGACTTGGCCTTTGGCACCCAAACCTGCTTAGATCTTGGTAGCCTTTTGAACACTCTTCTTTTTGTAATCCTTGTACTTTATGCATAAGGATCCATGCATATGCAAGAAGTGTGTGACACTTCTGGATGCGTTCCTCGAGAGTAGAACAGGTTCGTTTGACACGAATTCATTTGTCAGTTGACAGTTGGGAGGAGGACCCCGATGCTTGTTGTGGCGGCGGCTTAGCCACTTGACGTTTCCTGGACTTCAGATTCTCTTGGTAGCGGAGCCCATCTATTTGCTCCAAAGCCTTAGCAAATTAGCGAGCGAGACGTTGACGGCACCTCTGACGAGCTCTCTTCGATAAAGTTGGCGCGCCTTCAGCAGTCAACTCCTTAATAGAGGCGGTGTCCGGATCTGTGGCTTTGGATACATCGGATGCCGAGGATCATTACGAGGTGTAACTGCAGTAGCGGTAGCGGGGAGATCGTCTTCTTGGGTCTTCAGATCTAAAGACCAGCGGATCTTCTAAGGGGAGGAGACATTCCTGCATTTACGAGGAGAGGCGGATCTGGAGGAGGAGGAGGAGACGTACTCCTCGAACTTTTGTTGGTCGAACTCGTATTCGACCTCTTCAGCCACGGGGATCTTGATCGTCGGCTATAGAATGACAGCCTTGGCAGTAAGGCTGTTGGCTCCCACTGTGGTCGCTAGCTTGTTTGAAGAGAAAATTGATTTCATTGACGAGTTCATTACAACTTTAAGCATTTACAACAAACTCAAAGAAATAGTCTTTTTATAAGATTTTCAACAAAAATTACAACTTTCTTTTGAACAAACAAAACAGACTCTTATTCTCCGCTGCTTACGTGGGATTTTGGTCTGTGATGGGGATGTTGATATCCATGGACCACCAAACGATCAGATCGATCCGGAGCTTTGTTGATTTGCGAAGAAATAAAAAACTGAAGCAATTATCTCGGCAACAACAAGATAACCACTCTTCTCGAGATCACCGCAACGGGGCTATCTCAAGGAAAAGAATCGGGAACTGTGGATCTGACGAACTCTTCTTCTCTATGCTGAAGAACTCGATCCGATCTCCTCCTCTCTTCTAAAATTCGTTCTCCTTCAGTCTTTAATTAAGCAGTGTTTCGTCGACGCTCTAGAATTCCAGATGTGCAAATGAAGGCCCTAGGGATGTATTTATAGGCTTTAGGACCACTGTTTTTGGATAAGAACAACCAATTCACTCTTATCTTCAGTTATAACTACTTTATCACGTTCTTGGATGATATCGGATCAGTTAGAACAAATTCAGGCGGTTAACGATCGAAAAACATCTAAAAAAATTACAATACATGTTTTTTTGGTCTAGGACACCCGCGGTGTCTCGGCCACGACCGAGACACTTGGGGTGTCTCGGCCTTGGCCGAGACACCTTGGGTGTCTCGGCTTGGGTGTCTCGATCAAGGCCGAAACATATCTGGTGTCTTGGCCTTGGCCAAGACACTTGCAGTGTCTTAGCTTTGGCTCTGTGCTTTGTTTCGTGCGTCCCGTCCGTTTCCACCGTATTTTCGTCATCCGAACTCGGAATTGTGTAATTCTATATGCATTGGAAAGCTGGTGGGAAGATCTACAAGATTCCATGGTTGAATCATACATGGAGTAGATGGGACACGAGGGGTGCTTCGTGTTTTGTGTTTTCGTTATTCTAAAGTTTTGTTGCTTCACACGGTTCGTCAACTTACTTCATGCGCTTGTCGACGTCAAATAAGGTTCTGTGACTCGGATAGTGACTTTCATCGTCTTCTCTCTGTCTCAATCCGCATGCAGGAACTTATAGGTATTTTTAGACGCCTACAGT